AAAAAAACACGGTTTTGTTCTCATACACAAATCAGAAGAGACAGGAAGGCCACGTCATCTTGAAGGGCATGTTGATAGTAGCACGATCTTGGAGTTTAGATTAGATAGTCCGTATATAGTCCGTAGATTTTCTGCACGGACTCTAGGCGAACGGGCGGCTGTGAACTGTACAAGTCTGCGGGATGACACACCCGAAGCCGGGGTTGGGATTCACTGCAGAAGTTCTCGTTATTATTCTTATCATTACGATCATTTCATAATTAGTGTTAGTCATTTCCGGTTTTGTCATCATCGCTGTTTTTATCGAGACGATGATGCTCACCATCCCCATCATTATTATCCTTATATTTTCACTGTCATCATTGTCAGCATTATCATCATCGTGACCATCGCTGTCATTATCATTATCATCATCCAACATTTAACGTTTGTTATTGTCAATATTACTATTATTATTATTTCACTCATCATTATCATCACAATTTTTATATACTGTACTATCATTTTCATGTACGTACGTGCTCGCGCGCGCGCGTGTGTGTGCGTGTGTGTGTGTGTGTGTGTGTGTGTGTGTGTGTGTGTGTGTGTGTGTGTGTGTGTGTGTGTGTGTGTGTGTGTGTGTGTGTGTGTGTGTGTGTGTGTCTGTGTTACAACTTTGCTCAAATAACTCAGCCTTTTTATACTATTGCGGGTAAATGTCGGCTATAATAAAATACGATATACTATTAGATAATATTTTGTTCTTGCATAATATTCTGATCACATGAACTAAAGACGAATGTAAGGAATACCACTTAGAGTAATTACTTACAACAAAATCATAAATGTCACCAAATTATAATTGCAATCTCTTACATCATATCATTTGTGTCCATAGCATGCCGGCATAACACTAATTACCTTCTTAACATCAATACATATGGGCCTATTATTGTTAGAGGCCGTTATAAAGTGGCAGACACTGGTGGTGGTGGGCGTAGGCCCCGCTGTCTTGAAGAACCGCCCCCGGCCCACACACCCACGGGTCGTAAGTCGCATTCTGCCACGCCCACAACTTCTCCTGCAGCAGCCTGAGGACGCCTTGGTAACGCCCCTTCCTCGCCACGTTGAACTGCTCGTGGGGATCGACCAGAAGGTCGTAGAGCTCCCATTCGTCTCGATAATAATACTCCTGAAGCGTCTTGTACCAGGGGAGCGGCGCCCCCTCCTGCGTGCGGTTGAGGATATCCTGGAACACCGGCGCGAGGTAGAAGTCCTGGTCGATGGGGAACGGCATCTTGTAGTTGAGATTGTGGATCAGCTTGAAGGTGTGGGTTCGGACCGCTCGCATCGGGTAGTACATGGTGACCTCGTGCAAGTCGTGGCTGGCAAACACGGCGTCCGAGAGCTCCTCTGCTGTGAGCGTCGGGTCGTGCCTCGTCTGCCTCACGTCTTGCCGTACGCTGTTGGCCCGCCTCTCTTCGTCGTCAGCAGCACCGCGTGGATCCTGTCGACTCTCTCCCTCGCTCTTCTGGCTCTCTGGAGTAAGATATCGCAGCAACGACTTCCCCGTCAGTATTGCTGGCTCGTCCTTCTTCAGAATGCTGTACTTTGGGTACGTAATGTTCATCCAGTCAAGGACAGTCGGGGTCAGGTCGAGGAGCGACGCCAGGGCGGCCGTGGTGTTTCCCCAGGAGGCGGGGTGAAGCGGCGAAGACACCAGCAAGGGCTCCGCCATGCCAGGGTCGTAGAGATTGGTGCGGCCGGCGGGGAATGGGATCCCGTTGTCTGACGTGTATACGACCAGGGTATCCTGCGCGTGGCCTGCGCTCTCCAGCTCCTGCAGAATGAGTCCTACGCCTTGGTCCAGCCGGGAGAGCGTCGTGTACTGCGCCGCCAGGTCCGCTCGCGCCGCCGGCGTGTCCTGGACGAAGAACGGCACTTCGACTTGCGCCGGGTCGTAGGCAGTCGGCCGCCAGTCCGGTATGTATCCCATTCCGGGCTCGCCGTTGCCGAACTTCTCGCAGAACTGGCCGAACTGAGGCTGAGTGTGGCCGCAGCGGTGGGGGTCGTGGAAGCCCACGTAGAGGAAGAAAGGGCGAGAGTCATTGGCCTGGAGGAACTGCCTGACGAGCAGCCTCATGCGGGTGATGTTGCGGCCCACCTGCATGATGGACTCGGTCTCCTCCGTGTGCGCGAAGTCGAACGGGTACACGGCCTCGGGCCCCACGTGCTTCTTGCCGACGATGCCCGTGCGGACGTCGTGCTCGGCCAGAATGCCGGGGAGGCTCCTCACGCCGTCGAAGGAGTTGAAGTGGTGGTAGCCCTGGTGGAGCCCGTACATGCCGTTCTGATGCGTGGGGAGCCCCGTCAGGATGGCGGAGCGCGAGGGCGAGCAGCTGCTGACGGCCGTGAAGGCGCGGGTGAAGACAGTGCTGCGCTTCGCTAGTTGATCCAGGTGCGGCGTCCGACACGCGGAGTTCCCATATACCTACGGGGATTTTTTCAAATAATGGGGTTT